TATACCATTCTCTATTTTTGGGAACTCCTTGGAGCTCCCTCAAGGACCCCTGGGAGACCCTGCACCCCTGGTTTAGAACCACTGCCATAGAGAACAGACATGATTGTGGCACTGATATGAAAGTATCAGTGCAGGCAGCTGGTGAAAGCATGCTTAACGACATGTGTAATCATCTCTGCTACACTCTCTTGCCACTGATCCTCATCTCCTCTGACCTCTCTGACCTGTTGTCGTTTGCAGTGATGTGATGAAGCTGGGCTTCAGTAAGCCCTGGCCCGAGGCTATGACCATGATCACCGGCGAGCCCAAGATGAGTGCCCAGCCTCTCATGGAGTATTTCAAACCTCTCATTGAATGGCTGGAGAAAGAGAACAACAAGAACAATGATGTTCGCGGGTGGCCGGAGTACGACTGGAAACCTTCAAGTACGTCCAACACATTCATGCAGACACATACTTTGATACTTCCACAGAAATATGAATAAAAGCTCACGCCTGTAGGCCCATTCCCTTTGTGTTAAATAAGATTTCCAATCCCCAAGCCAAATATTTTTGAACTCCTTCCCAGAAAAAAAAAATCCTCTCAATGTCTTCACATAGAGGAGTTAATTTTGTTTTTCTCCTCTGCCGTGGCTTACGGTGAAATCAATCTCCTGCTCCTCTTGTTTTACTGATGAGATCCTGCTGAAAGGATGTGTACATATGAGATTGATGAGATTCTTAGCATCAGAGTGAAAGAGAGAGTTAGGAAGGGATGGTGGGAAAAAGAAAACACAGCTGTTGCGCACAGATCAAGATTCAAAATGAGTAATGAATGAGTGTGGGAAGAATATGTATCGGAGGTAAAATCAAGTGACTTTGTGTCCTCAGACGACACTGTGTCAAGAGACAGTAAGTTACACTGTGTTTCACCTTCTGGTTATTATTATTATGTGGCACTGATTCCAACACAGAAATCTGGAGACAGATATTTTGTGGAGGTTATTTGCAATAACAGTGTCAACAACAAAACCGACATTGATACAAACCACCAGAATATCTTGAATATCTGCAAGGAAGTTTACAGTTTAGATATGTTGGTGTGTGCCATCTATAGGTAACAAGTGTAACATCTTGTGTAATTTTTCTTTCTTTTTGTCTTCTTCTTTCTTTTAATGTTTTACTCTGACACTTTTTATGGCCTTCTATACTATGACGTTTTCGGTGACACTGTTGAGAAATCTTTTACAGCATACAGTGACATTTCACTTAAATGACATTTAAATGACATTTCCTAAAGCATTTTTATAATGACATACATATTCTATGGCTTTTTTATGATTTTTTTCATTTGACATGTTGTACTATTTATAACTTTTTCGATGACTATATTATAACTGTTTTTGTGGCGTAGTCTCCTACTATACTACTATACCCTACTATATGTTTTATGGCATATTATAGTATGACATTTGTGTGATATTTTAAAAGTCATGCTATATTACAACTTTTTTTATGACATACTAAACATATATATATATATATATATATAT